ACCCTTAGGACTCGGTTAAGCAGGTGTTGGAGGATTGAGAATGTGAAAAGGGAAGGCAGGGATGGACAGAACTGGTAATAGTGGGAAGTGGCCACCTGGGCAGAGTGACCAAGGAAAGAGGTTGGGGTTATCAAAATCTACGAGCTGGAGGAAGAGGGGTTCTGTGGGGCTGGGGCCCAGACTTCTGAGGGGAGCGTGTTGCCTGGCAGCTGCTGGTATCCCAGGGTTTTGGAAGACGGCACTACCAGGCTGGAACCGGCACATCTGACTTTTGAAGCCCATCAGTGATACAGCTGCAGGCCACTCAGTAGCCACTGCCCCTGGCCGCCCACTTGAGCTGTGGTGACCAGGAAAGGAGAGTAATGGGTCCTGTTCTGGACACCGGGACCAGCTGCTGGGGTGCCCACACATGGAAAGGGGAGCTCTTCTCCTCCTTCGGCGCTTTGTCTCTGGCATCTTGTTGGGAGACCCGACAGGGAGCCAGGTGTCAAAGGAGAACGTGTGTTCAGTCCTGGCCCCAGCAGCACGGAGCAGGGCGGGATTTGGAGGAGGGACAGGAACTCAAGGTCCCCCAGCAAGATTCGCCACGTGTTGTTCCTGGATCGCCCGTGGCCCTTTGGTATTTGGTGCCAAGTCCCTTTCCCCTCACTGAACCTGGCCTTTGGCTCCCTAATGGTGACACTGAGGCCACGGCAGGGGGGGCAGGGAGGGAAACTGGTAAAAGCTACCTTCGCTTTTTGTCTTGAGGTTGTTTGGTTTACGGTACCAGGTCTCTTACTGCCTATAACCCTGTGTTTTTAGTTCTCTTGGTAAAAGCCTTATTCTCAGGGTGTCTCCCCCGTGTATGGTAGGTTAAGGGGTGCTCAGGTTGTCCCCGAATTTCTCTCGCATTTCCCACTTCTCAGCACCTCTGCTTGCAGGTGTCGGGGGCTTGACTCCCGAACCCGGTTCCAGAACTGTTGTGTAGGGGCGGGCCGCCCGGGGACCCCGTCCTGGCTGACGGTGGCCGCGTGCTCCTTTCCCGAGGCAGGGCCGTGGGCTGGCTGTCCTAGCGGCACTGGGACCCGTGGAGCCCCGAGCAGTGTTATCAAGAACAGCAGAGCAGTCTGGCCTCTTCTCTAGTTCCTCCGCTGTGAGCTGGCCCCGTTCTCACGTTCTGTTTTCCACGCGGAATAATCCAGTCTCCGGGCTCTCCTCTCTAGGGGAGACTCGAGGGTGAAGCCATCTCACTCTCTGTCTCAGCACCAGCAGAACATAGAGGACCGATGGGCCTTCTAGACGGTCTCTGACCACTGTTCTCCCCGAGCGGGGAGGTGTGGCCTTGCGTTCTGTCCCCCCCCTTCACTGGTGCCGGGGGACACACGTTATCATGCACACATCAGCTGCCACAGCTGCAGGCCACCCAGTAGCCTCTTTTCTGCCACTTAAGCAGTAGCGACCAGAAAAGAAAAATAATCAAGTCCTCAGTGAAACACAGACTGGTCACCCCAGGGCTCCGTGGTTCTCACCTGGACGTCCCGGGTCTGTGGGGCAGAAGAAGGACCAGGGACTAATTTCATTCCTTCAGAAACTGGGTGGGGATCTGCATGTGCCCACAGTGAGGCCGCGCTGGCACCCCAAAGGCAGAACTGATTGGCCTCCAGTTCCGGTGACATCAGGGGACCTTGGCTCTGCCATGCGCATCAGGAGCTCCTGGTGGCACCTGTATGTCTAAGAAACTATCAGCAAATTAGCTGTTAAGGCCGGTTGATAACAAAATCTTTCAAATGCGTTTTGTGTGAGGAAACAAGAGCGATGATATCTTAAGGTGGTGTCCAGACGGGCAGCCCCAGTGTCCGGACCGCCAGGGCATCCTTCCAAACGGGAGACTCTCCGAGGGATTAGAATCCCAAAGACTTAGGTTTCTTGCTAAGTTGCTTAGTGGTCAGATGAACTTCACACCCCAGTTTTGTCCACTGCTCCAAGGTAATGTCTCTTATCAACAAGAAATAATCTTTTGGGGAAAGGGATTGAGATTGGTGGTTACAAAATCATCACAAAGATGTAAGGTACAGCCCTGGCCAGCTTTTCTCAGTGGTTAGAGCATCGGCCTGTGGACCAGAGAGACCCGGGTTCGGTTCCTGCTAAGAGCACGTACCTCGGTTGCAGTTTGTTCCCAGCCCCGGTTGGGTCGTGTGGGTGGCAGCCAGTCGATGTGTCACTCACATCGATGTTTCTCTCTCTCTCTTCCTCCTTCCTGCTCTATCTGAAGATGAATGCAAAAATGTCCTTGGATGAGGATTAAAAAAAAAAAGATGTAAGGTACAGCACAGGGAATATAGTCAATAATACTGTAATACCTTTGTACGGTGTCAGGTGGGTACTAGATTTATTGATGTGATCACTTCATAAATTACATAGATGTCTGAATCACAGGCTTGTACGTCTGAAATGAAAATAATATGTGTCAACTGTAATTGAAAAAGAAAAAATCATTAAAAAAGTAAAAGGCAACAAAACAGGAAATTATAGTCTGGTGACAAGGAAGGCTCTGTACTCCAGAATAGCACTGATGGTGTGAAGTGCCCCTCCCCCAACCCCGCACTGTACCTGACACACCAGAGGGACTCACTGATGACACCGTTTGTACCCACGTCTTCAATCTCCAGTCGTGTTACAGAGTAATCAATTGTGGAAGCAGCAGTCTCATACGTGGGGCATATGTGCAAAGGCAGGCACTATAAATGATGTGAAGGTTTAAAAGAATAGACATAAGTCTTTTTTAAAAAAAATATGTTTTTATTGATTTTTTTTTAGAGAGAGAGGAAGGGAGAGAGAGAGAGAGAAACATTGATGTGAGAGACATCGATCAGCTGCCTTGAGCCCGCAACCTGGGCATGAGCCCTGACTGGAAATCGAACCTCTCAGTCCATGGGACGATGCTCAGTCCACTGAGCCACACCAGCCAGGCTTATAAGTCTATATAAATGGCATGTTTAACATTTTGTATTATATCTGAAGCTTAGCTTATTATCTAGTAAATATGGCAGCAGCTACATTATCATTTCCTACCAGGTAGATGTGTAAGATTGTTGATTACTTTTTTTTTTAGAATGAATAAAACTTTTATTTGAATACTATTACAAACTGTTGACACTTATGAACACAGATTGGGTTCTAGGATATTGAATAATTAATAAGATTTATAATAGATTAAAATAACTTACGGTTTTCTTATGTTTGGGAAAGTTAAAATATATTTTAAAACCTTGACTATGTTGCCCTGGCCGGTTTGGCTCAGTGGTTGGAGCGTTGGCCTGCGGACCAGAGACTGTGGGTTCGGTTCCCACTAAGGGCACGTACCTCGGTTGCGGTTTGTCCCTGGCCCTGGTTGGAGTCGTGTGGGTGGCAGCCAGTTGATTTGTCTCTCTCACATCGATGTTTCTCTCTCTTCCCCCCTTTCTCCCTCCCGCTCTATCTGAAGATAAATGCAAAAATGTCCTCGGTTGAGGATAATAAAAATAAATAAATAAATAAAACCTTGACTATATCCTTAAGCAGAATTAAAAAGGGAAGGAATGAAAATAAACAGATATGTAATTGGGTATGAAAAGATTAGCTGTGGCAGAAAACATGAGACTTTGTATATGTCCAAATCTGCTAGTTATTTACAGCTTCAAAAACAATTTCATGATAACGTTAGTCACTCATGACCGAAGCAAACCCACCTGATAATCTTGAACGAGTTGTCACCATCATTTTCCTGTTACCTACTAACAGGTTATAATCCATTTTAATTACAAGGCGTAAACAACACTTTGTTATACCACTTCAGTAAGCATAACACCATTTTTAATAGAGTATGACTTTGACACCTATGAATTAAAAAACGACCCGACGTTAGCAAGAGAGAAATGAAGTTGATAATGATCTGGCCAGTGTCAGTTATGTGCTCAGCTGGATCAATTAGATCTCCAGGGGGTTTCGCCCGCTATTGGAGTATTAGCCGTGCGCAAGGCCAGGGTTCAGCAGGTGGCCCCCACCTTTGTTCTCCCCTCCTTCATAGACTTGGGACTTCCTGGGTGTGGCGATGAGGCAAAAATCATATGTACATTTGAAATATTGACAGCTTTGAAATGGGCGAACCCACACATAGTCCCTACGATGAGACGATGCGGTGAAGCTGGAGCTGTTTTCAAGTTGTTTTTCTTCTTGACTGAAAAAGTGCAAGTTGAGTTCAGCCAGATCTATTGGGATCTCGTTGAGCTTGTATTTTCTTTCGGAAAAGTAACTTATGTGTGCTGACGAGTGCTAGAAGGAAGCTTGGACCGTCTCAGAAACGCGCCCCGAGTCCTAGCAGTATGTGGGCTCCTCTTACAAGGAAAGGGTTGTGCATTTTACACTAGTGGTTCCCTCCACAGACTGCCCTTTAAACATCTCCTCCTTCTCTTTGCAGTAGATCATGTATGAAATGGTTGGAGTTTTTTTTTTTTTTTTAGATGAAAAAAAATCTAATTGACATTAAGTTATTTTCGCACTAAAGAAATCGTTCATACATGGAGTTGTGCCACTGAACTGATGAGACACAAGAGCATACATAGTGCATTAGACCCTGGAGAGGACCTTCAAAGTCATCTGGTCGACCCCCTGACTTTACAAATGAGATACAGGTGGGCCATTTGCCCACAGCTTGTCTGTCACACAGGGAGGTGGTGGCACAGCCGCGAGAAAAACCCGGGCTCCCTGACTCCTGATTTCCGTGTTCTGCCTAATTTTGGTCGCCCGCAATCTTTAATCTTGTTTGTAGGTGGGCCTTTTAGCATTTGCTGTGTTTGCATATTTTGTTAAGTAAGAAAATTACCAGTTTTTTAGTGTATGAATGATTGAGGTAGAGACAGAACAGTGTTACAGAAATACTCGATGGAAGAACGTGAAATAAAATAGACCTTGTCCCATAACCAAAAATGAAGTCTCTGACTGTGTCACCAAACGGGTCATTGCAAATGTTTTTGACCTTTCAGAACAGAAGACTCGTTAACAGAAGATGACAAGAGGAGGTATGTTTGATATTGAAGCTGGCTTTAATTTGAATACTTTTTTTTTTGCCACATCTCATGGATTTAATTTAACACGGCTTAATCTAACCCACAAATTCAATTGAACACTGTAGCACACTACCAATTCAATAGAGACAACACCAGCCAAACTTCGGGCGTGGAGTATGTGATCTGAAAAAGAACTTGCCCAGGGTTCATTATGTTTGTTCTTTCAAGCAAGTTTGGTCTCTGTCCTGTGCATGTGGCCGTTGGAAGTTTTCCTCCTGTGGCCTTTGAGGGTGCTGTTCTCCCTCACTGGGTGACATCCCTCCTTTCTCTCAGCCTTGTCCACCCCCATTGCTCCTCTGGGTCCTGCTCCCCGCTCCCCTTACTCCTTAGCTCGCTCGCTCTGAACTTTATATTTATATGAACTATGGATGAGATGTGTCTGTGTGTCCCTAGCATTGACCTTGACTCTGGCCACTCTGAATTCTTGATTAATGTTGCATGTCACGTCACTGATATTTATGTCCATACTAAATTCTAACTTCTTCTTTCTTATTGTAAGTAAAATATCTAAATTTCTACTACCTCAATATAGTTTTCATATATATCTTCTTTTTAACAGAAAAAAACGTAAATTTCCAAGGGCAATACTATTCTGAATTCTACTTTTGAAAAATCATGAATTGGCATTAATTATAATTAGAATGAATAATTCTGTAATTGTCTGGAGTACTCCGTGCTTCCATTGCTTTCTTCGAATATATGGCACCATGGAAACTGCTCTGATTTTCTGTGTCTGCTTCTTGAAGAAACTACGGAGGAGTGTACGTGGGTCTCCCATCCGAAGCTGTCAGTATGGTATCCAGTCAAACAAAGACTGTTCGAAAAAGTAAGTAAAATCATGCGCTTTGTATTTTCTCTAAGGATCTATTTTATGTGTTGTGAAAAAATACGAAATTTATATTTCAGCTTGCTTGACTGAACCTACATGTTACTGAGTAGTAGGGAACATGTATCTGTTCTTTGTCATCATTTGTTGAAATTACCCCCCATATGATGAGAGTCGTAATTTAGCTTCAGTTTGTGATTATGCTCCATGGGTATTGGTATTTAAAATGTTTTATTAAGTTCAGTGGTGATCAGTGTGGAAACGGAAGCTAATGTGTCGGTCAGTTTACGGGGTTTTATAGAACATAAAGGTAAGTTTCTGTAGTACGTCATAAAGATGACTGGCTGATCATCAGTCGGGTGAGGAGCAGAAAGGCAACTGCCTATTGTATAATTAAATGAGGTGAGGCTCCTTTTTCTGCGTTTTAACAGTAACTGGGGGTGAATGAAGTCCTTTCGATAACAGGTGTGACTGCAACCTTATAGATAGCTTCTGGCTTAGGTAAGTTTGTAAGTGAGGGCTTGGTAGAGAATGCTGGTTTACTGAGCTCTGTACAGTTGTCTCATGTATAGTTCTAAAGAACTGTTACTGTGTCTAATGTGCCCACAGGGCTGTGTGACATTACTTTTAGCATACTTTACTTATTTGTTCCTCATTGCTATTTCTCTACTTCATGGTTTGAATGAGCAAATAATGTATGTCCTAACTATTTGTGGTTGTATAAGCAACTAGAATAGGTTCTTTACAATCTGAACATTTCACTTTTCTTTTTTCTTTAAGATTAGAAGAAAGTGCCATGACTCAATAATCAAGAGGTACTGTATATTTTTCTAAATATTTGGATTTGTTTAGCCTTGATGATGAATGAACTGTAGATATTATTTTGCTATGTATTTTTAAGAAATCTTGGACTTCAAGATTAGGAGGGGGTTTCATTTTGTGCTTATACCTATGGAAACCGAACATGTTTTATTATAAAGAGATCTTTAATGATCAGATCATTCATTTAATAAGAGCAAGCTGAATGTTTACCAAAAACAATGAGGTTTCACTCTTTATTTCCAAACTCTTCAAGGGGCTGGGACCTTGGAGATAACAAGGAGAGACGAGAGAGGCTGGGGCTGGGATTAGATTAGGATCAACGCTGTTTGACAGCAGCAGGAATTAGTTAATACACATGGAGGAGATGTATCAGCACCAAACTCCCATGGGAATGGGCAATACATTAGTGCCCAGTTGTGCAGGAAGGAATAGTCAACTCATAGGCCCGGTTTGCTGGTTGGATGTAAACATGGACAGAAGAAAACATTGTCTAAAAGATGCACTGTGGACCTGGGATCCCGGTGAAGAGCTTGGAGTTAGAGTTATAAGAAGATGAACAAGAACAGGTGAAAATAGCTTTCATTTATCACCTACCCCGGGTCTCTAGAAGATACTAAGTAGCGTTTTTGTAGAGGCCAAGAGCCTCGGTTCCCCTGGTCCGGAGCACGTTTGATGCTTGGATCCCCCTGTCTTCCAGTCCTGCTGAATGACGTGTTGCCTCGTTGGAACCGGCAGCGATCAGGAATGCTGTCGCCCGAGATTCCCGAGACAGCCCGCCCACTCTCCTTCAGGAGCCTTGCAGACTTGGATTTGCAGGCTCTTTCACCGATGAGCTGGGCAAATTATCACCCCCCACCAACTTTTTAAAAATCCACACCCAAAAATATGTTTTTATTGATTTTTAGAGAGATGGAGGGAGGGAGGGAGGGAGGGAGAGAGAAAAAAATATTGATGTGAGAGAAACATCGATGGGTTGCCTCCCATATGTACCCTGACTGGGGATCCAACCTGTAATCTAAGTATGTGCCCTGACTGGGAATCGAACCCACAACCTTTTGGTGTATGGGACGACACTCCAACCAACTGAGCCACCCGACCAGGGCTACTTCCCCTTTGTTGCCTCCTTTTTTTAAACTATGAAATGGAACGAATGCTTAGCTGGAAGGGTTGTTGTTAGTATTAACTGGGAAATAAATGGTTTCTGCTGTCATCATTGTCATCATCATCATCGTCACTGTTATTGTTATTATAATACCCCTTTTGAACCAGCACCAGCCATTGGCACACCCAGAGCAAGACCGATTTGATAGCGAACCAACTTCTTGCTGAAGGACAGGACTGGGTTTGGTGTTTGGGGGGTCGCAGGATAAGCTCACAGTGGAGACAGATAAGCTTCCCCCCTGGGGGACGTGCACACAGAAGCTGTAACCAGTTTCTTTCTATAAGAAACGCAACAGTCCTGGGCAGCCACTTCTTTGAAGATTTTTTTCATCAAGGCAACAGCATCATGGGGATTTGTTCCCTAGTGCCCATGACCCCATTAGGGTGCTGAGTTTCTCTGGGAGTTTGATGGAGATTTCCGATTTCTTGTAATTTTATTTATTTTATCCTCACCCCGAGGACATTTTTGCATTTATCTTCAGATAGAGCAGGAGGGAGACAGGGAGGAAGAGAGAAAAACATCAATATGAGAGAGACACATCGACTGGCTGCCACCCACACGACCCCATCCGGAGCCGGGGACAAACTGCAACTGAGGTACGTGCCCTTAGTGGGAACTGAACCCAGGACTCTCTGGTCTGCGGGCCGACGCTCTAACTGCTGAGCCAAACTGGCCAGGGCCAGTCTCTAGTATTTTTAATAGAGTTCTGCCCCTCCATGGAGATTTCTAAAGTCCCTGCCAGTTTTCCCCTGTTGCAGTAGTACGTTTATTATTCACATCACATCAAAAAGATAATGTAGTTGAAGAGAGAGCATATGTTACTGTTTACCTTCCTGAAAACAGGTGTTCCAAAAAAGTATGGGAATGGTGTGGAAAACAGTGCCACATGGACAGCTGTCAGGAGGCTTGGTAGTCCTATTGACGTGGGGCCTTAGATGAATTCTTGACCTTCTCTCGGTTTTAGTTTTCTCGTGGGAGAAAAGATGATTGCTAGATTTTGTATGTGGATCTAAAATTCCCTGATGATAATTTAGCCATGTTACTGATGACCAGAGTTCAAGGTTGACTTGGGTACTTTTTGAAGTAAATTGGGGAATGATTTCAGAATCTTTTTTTTGGTTGTTAATCCTCACCTGAGTGGAAGGGAGGGATGGAAAGAGAGGGGGGGGGGAGAGAGAGAGAGAAACATCAACGTGAGAGAGACACATCGATTGGTTGCCTCCCGCCTGACCCTGACTGGGGCCAAGGAATCAATCAGCCTGCATCCCAAGTCCATGCCCTTGACCAGGAATTGAACCCCAAACCCTTGGTCCTCGGGCCAGCGTGCTCACCACTGAGCTAAACCACCCAGGGCTGATTTCAGAATCTTTTAAAATCACTTATATCACAATACGAATGTGTAGTTCTTCTACTGATGACTCGAGGGTGAAAGTTATGCTTATTTAGATGTGAGGAGTACTGTCAGCATGGAGGGGCTTAAGGGGTGGCTCTCACATGCCAGTGGATGGACTAGCTACATCAGAATCCCCCGCGACATGGTGTGATGGCTAGACCCCTCCCGGGAGAGTCGCCCAAGTAGGGAGGGGATGGAGCTGTGGCTGAGCAGTCTGTACCTTTCACTTGGGTGACGCTGACATGCATCATTATGTTGCCTTTTAACTACAAGTTTGTATGTCTCTTTTTCTCCCTGACTTTGTCTTTTTATAAAAGTCAGTGGTGAGCGCTGGGCTGGCCACGCATGAAGTCTTAAATAAATAGTAAGTGAATGTGGAATGTGTGTTTTCCTTAAAACAAGATCAGTAAATAATGTATAGGCTTAAAGCTGATAGACTTTTATTGACATGTGAGCTTTCCAGCTTGCTAATTATTTTCCCTTTGTCTGTTACCTTCGTAGCTTGCTCATCAAGATTTAGAGACGTCATAATGTGCACAGACGTTTCCAAGGAAATTCTTAACAGTCACCTGCCCCCCCGCCTCCCCACAGTTCTTAGGCCGATGGTTAAAACCGTGGTGCCTAGTGAACGACGTCCTAGAGAGGAAGTGGTTAACCGCACGCCTGTGTGGGACTCGCCGTGGTCCAGCGACGAGAGGCCGGCGGGCTGCTGTCCCCCGCCAGCCTGCTTGCTCCAGCACGCGACCCGCCCTCCACGCCGTTCCCGGGATGACGTCTTTTCGCGGATGCTCTTTTGATAGTTTTTATATAAGGAAATCCTTATCCTATTTGTAAGTTAAGATAACAAGGCACTCTAAATGAACTCTCCAAAGTAATATATTTGTTTGTTCTCTTTCACTATTTCTACTTCGCATTCCTTTTTAGCTGTAGTGTTATGGATTCTTACTCCCTTTTTTACTCTTTGGTGTTGAGCTTTATTTAAATGTCAGAAAATGTCCTTTATGAGGAACAATGTATGACATGGCGGTATTTGAGAATAAATGACGGAAACTGGCATGTCTTATGCACATTTTTATTACCTCCCTGTTTCCTGTAGTCCAGGGCTTCGAACCTGCGAACGCAGAGCCTCTGGGCTCCTGCTGGACCTTCGAGCCATGTCGGCGTCTCGTCCTGTTAATTCTATACTGTGTCAGGGACCTGGGTTAGTGGGGTATTTCAGAAGGTTTCAGTTTGATAACGACCATGTATATCCACTCGGTATTGCCGTGTACATTACTCAATTTACCAGTATATTTCAATAATTAAAACATTTTTATCCCTCTTTACCTGGATTTCTGAATTATTTTCAAAAGAACACTTTCAAGCAAGTCATCCATGGCATTGTGATATATAGATACAATATATCATATGTATAGATAATGTATAAATAGATTACCATGATAAACCAACATTTTTCCCAAGAAGAAAAGCGTTATCTTACATATTTGGTCCACATGAGAACCATAGGGTCATCAAATTGATTTTTAAAAAATATCGAAGGTGCCCTGGCCGGTTTGGCTCAGCGGTTAGAGCGTCGGCCCGCGGTCCAGAGAGTCCCGGGTTCGGTTCCTGCTAGGGGCATGTACCTCGTTTGCAGTTTGTCTTCGGCCCTGGTTGGGGTCATGTGAGTGGCAACCACTTAATGTGTGTCTCTCACATTGATGTTTCTCTCTCTTTCTTCTTCCCTCTCTCCCTCTCACTCTATCTGAAGATACATGCAAAATGTCCTCAGGTGAGGATAAAAAAACCCCACAAAATCTAAAAAAAAAAAAAATCGAAGGTAAGAATCACTAAGAAATGATTATAATACATGTATGCCTACCTCATATCCACAAGTCCATAATGGTAGTCAGGTTTATTCCACTAGGGATATCGGATAGAGTCACTTTTTGAAAACTTTTAATTTTAAAATAATTTTAGATTTACAGACGAGGAAAAAGGTAGCACAGAGAGTTCCTGTATACCCTTCACCCAACTTCCCCTAATCTTAACATCTTACATAAACACAGTACATTTGTCAAAAGTAAGAAATTGGATATTAGTATAGTGCTATAAACTAAACTACAGCCTTTACTTGGATTTTGTTATTTTTTATCTTTGTTCATCCTCACGCGAAGGTATTTTTCCATTGATTTTTAGAGAGAGAGGAAAGGAGGGAGGGAGGGAGAGAAACACTGATGCGAGAGAGACCCATTGACTGGGTGGCCCCTGCCCTACCCCCTGACTGCTGAGCCAAACCAGCCAGGGCTCTGTTGGATTTTTCATTGACATCCTTTTCCTGTCCCCGGATCCAGGGCAGGATTCCATTGCTTTCTGTTGCATTGGGCCATCCTGTCTCTGTAGTCTCCTCTTCCTAGCATTTTTTTCAGTCTTTTTTTTTCATAGCTTTGACACTTTCGAAGCCTACTACTTGATATTTTGAAGTGTTTCCCTCAATTTGGACTTGCCTGATGTTTTCTTGTGATTGGACAGGGGTTATAGATTTTTGGGAAGAATGTTCTCATCACATTATATCATAATATGATATCAACATGACTTTTACTGGTGATATTAACATGATCACTGGGTAGGGGGCGTCTGCCAGGTTTCTCTACTGTAAGGTTCTGTTTTTCTTTTTACATCCTTTGTTCCTTTTGAACGAGTCATTAAGTTTAGACCACACTCTTGAAGCAAAGCATATCATGGAATTTGTGGACATTGGTTAAAAGCACATCAGTAATTAGCAAGTATTTTGGAAGAGATACTTCGAGAGTCTGCAAACGTCCTGTTTCTCTTTAAGGTTTGCCGGGTAACGTTAGCACTTGTCCTCAGGTGCAGCAATGTACAGCGGCGTTCCAGTGGTGATTTTGTACTTTCCTCTTTTCCATGCGTATGACTTGGAATTCTTCTCTAGGGAATATTTATTTGTTCCTTTTCCCTATTTGTTTATTTAGTCAATCATTTATATCTGTATGAACTCATAGGTATTCATTTTGTTTTTTAGGTTAAAATGTAGTCACCATTTTATCGCTATCACTATTTTATTGTTCAAATTGTTAGAGCTCTGACCATTGGTAATTTTTTCAGGTTGGTTCTTGACAAACCCCATCCTTTTTTCACCCTTAGATCGACTTTTATTTTATTAAAAATTTTTTGTTGTTGTTGATGTTAGAGAGGAAGGGAGAGGGGGAGAGAGATAGAAACATCGATGAGAGAGAACATCGATTGGCCGCCTCCCGCATGCCCCCCACTGGGGATCAGGCCAACAACCTGGGCACGTGCCCTGACTGGGAATTGAGCCAGCGACCTCTTGGTGCTTGGGTCGGTGCTCAACTACTGAGCCACACCAGCTGGGCCCTTAGGTAGACTTTTAATAACAAGCAGGCCTATGGAATAAAATTCCAATTCAAAAGTCAACTGAAACATTCCTAAAACTTCACCAAATCTCTTTATAAATGAAGTGTTTTCCATATTATGACAAGCCTTCATGTTTTCCTTCAACTAGACATTATTTAAATTTAGAACCTAGTGATTATTGTAGGTTAATCATACTCACCACCCACCCATCTGAAGACTAATGATTATAGTCTATGAAGAATGCGGAATTTTGAGGGAAAGACAGAACAACTATTAACACAAAGATCTTTCGAAAGGAGAGGGAGAGACGGGTGAAGGCTTAAAAACTCCTGAAATTTCAGAGTTAATATATTTTCAGACAACAAATTTTGGTCCTTAGGCAAGATTATTATTAAAAAGTAAATAAGGAAAAGACGATTTTCAGAGACTTCCTGACAAACACAATTGCCTTATTAGAAAAGGTTTTAAGAAACCTAAGCTAGGAGACATTTATTCCTAGACTTAGTTAAAGGATACTGCTAGAGTTTAGTTTGGGGAGAATATTGGAATCTCTAAAATGTAGAAATCTGGTTTTGGCATGTACAACCAACCTCTGGGGTTTTACAAATTGAAGACTGGCTGGCCCAGTGAGCTGAGTTTTCCCCCAAAGCGGTCTGGAGTAGGCTGTGGAGAGGCGGGTGATAGAGTGATAGAAGGTGCTCAGTTAATACAATGGGGAAGTTGTCCCTCTGGGCTTTGGAGTTGGTGAGAGCTTGAGGAGGGAGAGAAAACAGGTTCATTTTTGGAAAGGAGAGCTTTGTGTAGTCATATTGTATCCATACCCAGGGGAAGGATTTCAGGAGTGAAAAACTATCTTCCCAGGAAGATAGTTTACATTTTATTTGGTTATTTTAACTTAACATGTGTGATAACCAGTACAGAACGGGCGCTTTCCCATAGATGGTAACACCCAGCTCTGATTTTCGGTCATTTTCCCACCGTGACCAGTTGAGTTCCTGCTCTGCCCAGATGGGCATTAATGACTGTGGGGACGCCTGAAAGACCTGCATTTGAGGCTCTTAGAACAGCAGGGGTAGCCTGAAATGAACCTGGCACTGCCCAAGGTTGGCATGGATTACTCTGGGAGCTTAACCGGGCACCTACGACCTACCGGCGGGTTAGGAAAGACTCCCAGCGCAGTCCCTACAGAATCAAAGGGGAGTGTGAGCTCGCCAGCAGGGGGAGCTAAGCTTTGGGCAGAGAACTGCAGGTACAAAGAGCCCGGGCCCTTGGCATACCCTGGGAGCTTAGGAATTCATCTAGGCAGGACCGGAGGCAATGGGAATGGGGTGTCAGAGGGGGGCAAGGTGAGCTTGTGAGGAACTTCATGGGCCTGCTGACCTGCAGGTGGTGGGAGCCATGGGCGGGGGGGGGGGGGGGGGGGGAGGGGGGAGAGACGCCGTTGTGGAGCCTCGGGTCTCCCCGTGCACCCGCCACCTGGGGCCGCCAGCAGGTCTCTCCTGACTCCTGGTGTGGGGGCCTCCGGAGGAGGCACGGCTGGTGCAGGTGTGTTTCCTGCAGGTGTAGCTTTCCCATGTAATCTCCGGAGGGTTCAGACACAGTGCCGTCTGTGAAAGGTTGGAGAAACAGCCCAGAACTTTGGTGGAGTCGAATGACAACCGGTTCATCTCCATGACAGCATGCCTTCGAGACGGGAGAGCTGTCTGTTTTCTCTAACACGTGGAGACTGACACAGAGTCGAGGAAAAGGAAGGAATGGAGACCGGTGTTCCAAACAAAACATTCCCTTAGGGATCTGAGAAACCTTCCCCCAGGGCGGCCTCTCCCGGAGCAGCTGTGACGGGAGCTGAGGAATTAGTTCGTGATGATTTGTGGCACCCCCGTGCTTTCCCATGTTCCCCCTATTTCTTTCTCCACAAAACGATTCCACTAAATGAAGACAAACTTCTTTCTCCAGGGGAGTCTCTAACACTTAGCTAATTGAGCACTCAGTTACACATTTTGTTTATTCTCTAAATATTTACTGCTAAAGTCCTGCAGGCTCCTTACAAGGCAGGTGTCTTATGTATTCTTTTCCATTCTTAGAATTGGGTCCCAGGGATCCACGGCGGAGATGTGGCCTTAGGTTGTTATGAAAGCAAAGAAATCTGTGACTCCCAGAGTGGGACAGGCTTCTGGGGCCACCGGGGTATCTTCTCTGGAGCAGTCATATCTTTGGGGCAACCTTTAAGGCCTTCGGTGAGTCATTTGGCTTTTGTGCACCTTAGAAATTTTCAATGAATGAGAAAAAATCTAGTTCTCTTCTGAGATTGTTAGCAGAAATCATTCATTTGTTGACTCATTATCCAACAATGGTTTCCTGAGTGTCTACTTATTGCTTTAGGCTTGGAGATGTAGCAATGAGCAAACCAGGAAAGAGTCCTCGACGTCATGGGGCCTACGTTTTACCGAGGAGAGTCACACTAAACAACTAGTACCTGAGTAGCTGTCAAAGTACTAAGTTCTGTGGGGAAAACTATACCGGAGAAGAAGGACTAGAGAGCGAGTGGGTATTACAATTTTAATCCTAAACGGGATGGTCAGGGAATCACTCATTGAAAAGATGACATTTGAAGGTGAAGACTGGAGGAAGAAGGGACCATGTGGGTACCCGCGGAGGAACATTGTAAGGAGAGGGGACACGTTAAAATGCCCCATGCAGGAGTGTGTCTGATATGACAGAAGAAGAGCAAAGGATTCAGTGTGGCTGGGCAAAGGTTACAAATGGCAGGTAACAGGAGAGGCTAGAGGTGTGCTGGGAGGGTTAGGTCTGTTGTCGACCGCCAACTTTTTAATTAATTACTATATTTAAACATCAATGTTTATATA